AGGTCATGATCCTGGAGTCCCAGGATCGAGTCCCACATCGGGCTCCCTGCTCAGCAGGGAGTCTGCTTCTCCCTCTGACCCTCCTCCCTCTTGTGCTCTCTATCTCTCATTCTCTCTCTCAAATAAATAAATAAAATCTTTAAAAAAAAATCAGATTTCTTGTTAATATGCCTAACTTGGGATTTGTATCTTGGTGCATATATATCTAAATCTGGAATACTGAATTTTTATAGTAGTAGTACTTTACATTTTGGAGCTTTGGTGATCATTTCAAAATAAGAACATACTTATTCCTAATTTTTGTGATCCTTATCATAAAAGCTTTGAAGATAGAAGTATGTTGAATACTGGTCCGTATAACATTAACTTTTTGTATGTGTATTTAAGGATCGAGACACACAGAAGATCCAGTGGATAGATCGCTTTATAGAAGAACTTCGTACAAATGACAAGTGGGTGATTCCTGCACTGAAACAAATAAGAGAAATTTGTAGTTTGTTTGGTGAAGCACCTCAAAATTTGAGGTAAGGCTTTTAATATAGAAAATTTTCTTATTTTTATGTATATATTATGTTGAAAACAGCATACCAATAAAATCAAATGTTAAAATAGCAATTTAATATCAAATTCAAGATACTGCCTTGAGTTCTTTGTTCAGAATTGTCTTGGACTTCTAGCAGATACACCAACCATTATGGCATGGGTTGTTTTACCCATATGGGTTTCAAGATGATAATAAGTGATTTAATTTATGAAAATAAGATTTTATTTAAAGATAATTTTTACTATATTATTTTATTTAGATTTTTTTTAAGATTTTATTTATTCATTTGAGACACAGAGATACAGAGAGAGCATGAGCAAGGGGAGAGGCAGAGGGAGAGGGAGAAGCAGGCTCCCCACTGAGCCAGGAGCCAGACATGGGGCTCGATCCCAGGACCCTGGGATCATGACCAGAGCCTAAGGCAGATGCTTAACAATCCTCTGAGCCACCCAGGCACCCCTATTTAGATTTTTCTTAAAGATCTGATTTTATGTTTGGTCTTGATGCTAGATTGTGGTTATGGTTATGGGAATAATTTACCTTTTACTTTCTTGTAATCAGTCTGGAACTAATGACACATAAAGAAAAAATAACATGGAAAAATCTTAGGAATAGTGCAACAGGGTTTAGGTGCAGTTAGGCTTCCTGATAGTGAACCCTAGTTTCTCTAACTAGCAGTAATCATAGAAAGAGTCTCTAACCATTTAGAATCTGTATTCTCTAAGACAATTATGTGATTGCCAAGATTTTTTTTTTACAGCTCTGGGTGGATATAATTGTGTGTGTCAACAGGATTCCTGTTCAAACTGAATTACCTAATGCCTTTTTTTTTTCTTTTTTTTGAGAGAGTGAACAAGCGGGCAGGATGGGGGGTGGGTCTAGTGCGGGTAGAGGGAGAGAGACAATCTTGAGCAGTCTCCCCACCCCAAGCAGAGCTTGACACAGGACTCAGTCTCACGACCCTGAGATTATGACCTGAGCTGAAATCAAGAATTAGATGCTTAACCAACTGAGCTGCCCAGAAGCCCCTACAGATTCCCACGTTTATGCTTTAATTTTTCAGGTTGGATTTTGATTATTTACCAATGCTGGAAAAATTACATGAAATTAGGAAACTTCGTGGACATAAATACTGGAGGAAATCATGAAATAATCTATGATAATATTTTTTTAAAAAGGACATATTTTGATTGTGGTTGATTCACCATACATGTCTTTTATCGAACATACCCATTTTTTGTTTGCTTATTTATTCATGTGGTATTACATAGTCTTCAGAGGCAGGCAATTTAATCACCAGTGGATTAATAATGAAGTGAGCATTGATTGGTTTCATTGAAAATGGCAAAATAGAAAGGGAACTGGGTCTCTTTCTGGTTATATTCAGGGGCAAAATTGGTTGCACATTCAGGGCTAACAGAATGAACTTTTAAGGGCTAATATCCTTGCCCATGCAAATTTGTGCCTGTGCTTTGTTACTTACATAAGATTAATGTCTTATCTGAAGTTGGAGAATACTGATTGGTGATTTCATATAAGATGAGAATGTTAGAATAAATATTTATGTTATGAGACCTTGATTATTCTCTTTAAACTGCTTGATATTTTGCTATTAAAAGGAGGATATTGACCCAATTTTTATTATGAATGTAAAACATTTTAAACATCTGAATTAGCAGTTGGGATAGTCTTTGTAAATTCTTAGTTACAACAGTGTTCATTGCCTAATTATATTAAGTTCTTCTCGTTTTAGTCAAACTCAGCGAAGTCCCCATGTATTTTATCGTCATGATTTAATCAACCAGCTTCAGCACAATCATGCCTTAGTTACTTTGGTAGCAGAAAACCTTGCAACTTACATGAATATTGTTCGACTGTATGCTAGAGGTATGTATAATAACTAAAATTAACTATTGGGGATCAAGCATAGGCTTCCCTCCCCTGGTTTTTGTTTATCCTCGGTGTTAATTACCTCAGAAATGAAAATATATAAGTTTTTCCTAGATCAGAAGATGGAAGTCCAATACTCTTATACATCTACTCGGCCTTTCAAAACTTTTATCAACTAAACTTTAGGTCAGCTTTTCAAGGCCTGTTACTAACTGCTTATCTTTCCACATCTGGGAGCTCTGTCTGCTCTTACCACATTGGTTGATATTATCTTGGGTATTTACCTAACTTACTTTAAATTTTTGCATTCTTCTTGCCACACTGCTTTTCAAGAAAACTTGATTAATAATTCATTTGTTAATTTTGACCAACTTTGTTTTGGAATAATACATTACAGTTTTTAATAACCCCGAATTAACATTTTCCATTGTTCAAAAAAATTACTAGAAATTTACAGGATGAATGACATGTTCTTATTGGTTCTCAGAATGTGAAACTGTTTAAATATGTTAAGATAAACTTTCCTCCGGTTTACAACAGAAACCTTTTTAATATTTGCCATATGAGACTCTCTTTTTGATGCTTTAAAGATCATTTCCAATATTATTTGTCCTTATCAAAAGTTTTATTAGAATCTATGTGTGCTTGAACACACAAAGTATTCTTCATACATCTATACCTCCTCTGTATTACACCAGATTCATAGACAGACAAAAACCCAGCTGACTTATAGGCCCAATTTTGTGTATTTGAGTACAGAGAAGAAAATTTTTCCACTTTCCAGTTGAAAACCAGATTGAGCATAATGTGGAACTGAAAATACTACTCTGTGGACATGCTTATGTCAGGATGTGTAGAATTGAGTTATATATTTAAAATGGGGATATTTTTAATACTCATTGTTTGACTAGAATAATAGGCTCTGTACTTGTGCTTGTGCCTTAGATGGTTGAGGTGTGTGTGGTTTGATGGTTTGATCCCCACATTGTTACTAATTTATACTTAGCTTTATAAAAGTTATAGAAACAAAATGGAAAAATTAAGCAACTTTTTAGATACACCTAATGATTGCATTGGCTTCCTGTTCCTTTTATATTTTACCCAGTGTGTCCATTCTAGTCCTGGGGCTAGAAAAGCAGTCTAAGCATCAGATGTTATAATTGGCCTCATTTTAGGTTCTAGTGTTCCTTCTTAGCAAAATGGTAGGATAGGGAAGGTACTATAGGCATGAAACTTTGTGATTTTTCTCTAGCAAGAGCAGCCAAAATCAGTGAGAATAAGCTAGAATTTTAAATGTAGTTCTCTTGAGATTTTTAGGATGTTAAATTTTATTCCTGGTAGAGAGCCCTCCTAATGCCAATTAAGACCTTTCCTAAAAGGAATCACCTACATATTAAGCTTCAGTGATAAGTTTAATTTACTTCCATCTTTATGTGATTTTATGTTATTTTAATGTCATTATCAGTAAAAACCAAATTGCCAAGGCAGTCAGTCAGATGGGGCACATGTGCATTTCTCCCTCACTAGGGTCCTATTCCATTTAGTCAAATTGTATCTATGTTCTTGGCATCTCTCACTTTCATGACCTCAAGAATGTCAGCATTTTTTTTTAAGATTGTATTTATTTGAGAGAGAGGAAGAGAGCATGAGCGGGGGGAGGGGCAAAGGGAGAAGGAGCAACAGATACCCCTCTAAGCCCAACTCGGGGCTCGATCCCAGGATCCTGGGATCATGACCTGAGCTTAAGGCAGATGCTTAACTGACTGAGTGACCCAGGCTCCCCAAGAATGTCAGCATTCTTCATAATCTTCTCTATATTGCTTTTTTGGAAGGTTAGAAATAAGAGTGCAGGCTTTAAATTTAGACAGTTTAAACTTAATCTATATAAATTCTAAGTTAATTAAGCCTCTGTAGTTAAAATTTACCAAATTGGTAAAATGAAGATAACAAGACTGTGTATTTCCTAAAGGAGTCAATATTTGCTAAAATGTAGTTTAGATTCTTTTTTTCTTAGAGACAGAGAGAGCATGTGCAGAGAGAAGGGGCAGAGGGGGAGACATAAGCGGACTCCCTGATGAGCAAGGAGCCCAGTGCACGGCTCCATCCCAGGATCAGGAGATCATGACCTGAGCCAAAGGCAGACGCTTAACTGACTGAGCCACCCAGGTGCCCTAAAATGGGGTTTGCTCCTAAAACTTTTAACATTAAATTACTTCTGACCTAGAGCTAAAAAACAACACAAACTGTGGTGATTACATTTATATAAGAAGCATGTTTCTTGTTCTCCTGAAATGACAACATACACTATCAGATGATACAAGATTCTCACAGTTCACTGATGCTTGTTCAGTGTCATTTCATTGGTGTTATACATTTGCCAGCACTGCATTGTGTTTCTAGAATGCATCTTTGGTTTTGGAAGAGGTTAGTGCCCCAATGGTATGGCCAGCTGATTGCACTTCTACTTTCAGTAACTTAATAAAATCCTTTCCAACTTTTATACATGGAAATAAAAATGAGCTCTGATGACCCCTTCTTAGTGAGCTTCATATGCCTCAGTATTTCCTCAATCACATTTTTTTAAATGCACCAACAAAGTGTGATACAATTTGATTTAGTTCATTAGAATGGATCCTTTGCACTGATTTGCACTTAGAGTTTTAGGTATCATTTTTGTCTTTCTGGATAAGGATTATGGGGACTTACACTAATTATAGAACACACTGAAATTCATTTAGACCTGTGTTTTCTAAGGACTGACACTGCAGTACCCCATTCCCATTCTCTGATTTCATTTTCAGGACTATTTTCAGGACTACTTGCCAACTTAAAGTTCTCTTTGCAAGAGGCATTCAACAAGAGTGCTTTGGTAGAATGACATGTCCTGACTCAGTTCACTTAGTAGTTCTACCTCATTTCTATATGTGAGCCGTGAAGAACTCTTAGATATTTGTGGGTTATTGTAATTTACAAAGTACTTTTACCTAGTATTCTCATTTTATTGAGCTAGTAACTCTCTGGAGGCCTACAGTAGGAAAGTACAGGATGAGACTTGAACATTTTAATGCCATAAGTTGTGTATAAAGAACTATATTGGCATGTCAAAAAGATAAAGAAGTTATTGCTCACTAGGCCAATCTGTAATACTTGGAGCATCATAATAATGATACTATGGATCATAGCCTTTTCTGTATATAAGTGCTTGAGTCCATAGTGATATAAATGAATAAATGAAGGAGAATGTCAACTAAAAATATAGGAAAAAGTAACAGATGAAAAAAAACTAGTGAGTTAAATTTTGATGAGGACCAAAATAATGACATAGTATCAGAATATCATTCCACAAATTATTATTTTTTTTTAAAGAGTGAATTTTTTTTAAAGATTTTATTTATTTATTTGAGAGAGAGAGAATGAGAGACAGAGAGCACGAGAGGGAAGAGGGTCAGAGGGAGAAGCAGACTCCCTGCTGAGCAGGGAGCCCGTTGCGGGACTCAGTCCCGGGACTCCAGGATCATGACCTGAGCCGAAGGCAGTCGCTTAACCAACTGAGCCACCCAGGCGCCCTCATTCCACAAATTATTATATCTTTTGTGGTATTTCTTGTCAAAAATACATAACCTGAATGAAACTAGAGGTAACATGAACCCAAATTAAGTGGCATTGGACAAGAGTTTATTTATTTGTTTTTAAGATTTTATGTGTCAGAGAGGGAGAGCAGAAGCAGGGGGAGCGCAGGCAGAGGGAGAAGCAGACTCCCCACTGAGCAGGGAGCCCGATGTGGGACTCAATCCCAGGACCCTGAGATCATGACCTGAGCTGAAGGCAGACGCTTAACCAACTGAGCCACCCAGGCACCCTAAGCAGCTTTTTATTCTTTAAAATGGTCTATCAAGATAAGAAACATGAAAAAGAACTAAGGAATCTCTAGGCTTAAGGAAATGACCTCATGCAACATAAGAGCCTAAATTTGATTCTGGACTGGGGAAAAAAGGAAAGCATAAAGGACATTATTGGGATTGGATGTTATTGGGATGAAATTTAAATATAGGCTGTGGATCAGATAATACTCTTTTATCAATCTTAAAATCAGATGAGTATACTGGGGTTTATGTCTTTGTTATTTGTAAATATAGTTTTAAGGGGTAAAGTAACTGGTATCCAGTTTACCTTCAAATGGTTAACAAAAATGATAAATATATACATAAAATAGAAACCTTATAAAACAAATGGACAGAATGTAAATAATTATATGTATCTGGGTAAAGTATAGTTCCTTCTATTATTTTTATGCTTTGAAAACATTATATGAAAAAAGAAAGTTACACAAAGCTCTCCTCTCCTCCCACCAATTGATCTGCCAAGTAAACCCACACACATTTTTAGACAAAAGTATTTCAGGTATAAAAAGCAGCTAAAGTGGTAGTCCAGAGTTTAGTCTCATAGTATTTCAAGTTCAGTGCTCTGAAAAACCGGAAAATTTATATATAGTGGGAAAAATTTTCTCTAATTTTGGAAGCTTAAGGTTTGGTGCAATTGATGATTCTCAAGAAGTTGTAAAATTGCTGGCAGATGCTTATTCATAAGGAAAATACGAAACAGTCATAATATGTGGGTCTCCTTTCTTTACTGAAATTGAGATAACATTTCTAAACATTCTATATTATCCATCTTTATAGCAAGTCACGGTTTTATATCCAGTTGCTGTTTTTCTGATGTGGAAAAATTTGGAAAACTTGGGTTGCCTTTAACAATTTTAAAAGGATTAGAATTCTTTGGTAACGTTACTGACACAATCAAGTTTTTTTGTTTTTAAGATAGTATTTATTTATTTGACAGAGAGGCAGCGAGAGAGAGAACACAAGCAGGGGGAGTAGGGAGTGTAGGGAGAAGCAGGCTTCCCGCCGAGCAGGGAGCCGGATGTGGGGCTCAATCCCAGGACCCTGGGATCACGACCTGAGCTGATGGCAGACGACTGAGCCACCCAGGCGTCCCTGACACAATCAAGTTTTAAGAGATATATAACAAATGTATCAGTACTTATTACTAAAGAGAAATTGTATAATTTCCAAATCCTTTGTAACTTGCTTCAAAAGTTTGAAATAAATGTCTGTGATTCCTAAATGGTTGACCGTGCTTGCTGGAGGCATTTAATTGCCGCATCTTCTATTCTGCATACAGACCAGCTTGGTTCTAGACAGAGGGCTTTATCCAAGCCTTCTAATTCTTTTGTGATGTTCTTTTGCCTGATACTGAATAAACAGACTTATGAGAATTTTTTTTTAAGAAAAGGTTTTTATAAGTCTGAATTGACTTTTTGAATAAAATATCTCACATACACACAAAATAGTGTACATGATATTTTTAGGACAATATATACTTTTTAATTTTTTCCTTTTCTTTTTCACCGACTAAGGATTTTTCACCTACCAAGGATTTTTCATCTACCATATGTGATATTAATAAAGGAAGTCCAAAGTACTCATTAATTTTTTATTTTAAAAATTGGATTTCCCACTGAGTCTAGGCCTAATTATATTGGTTTTTGTAATCATATTGGGAGGGTAGGTTTTTTTTTTAATATTTGAGGCAAATATTTAATATTTGAGACATCGGTACTCTGGTGCTGGGGTACTTTGATAACTATCAAATATATTAGCACCTTAGTCACCCTGATTTTTCTATGAGTGCCCTTAGTGGTATTTGTTACTCTAAAATTCTTTTCCTATAAGAAAAGTTTTAGTATTAATGAGGGAAAACATCATAAACTGTACTCACAGATTGTTTCAGTATATATGAAGAATGAAAGGGAGTTGTGCTGAAAAGTTTTTGATTGTACCTCAGTGGATTTTATTTTCCTTTTGGCTATGTAAAATGTTAATTTTGTGGGGAAAATTGGATATGTCAGTACCACTGTTATAGGTTGCCTGATAATAAGTGATTATTGACCTTATAATTTCCTTAAGTAAAAGTTAGCATTGATGTGGATATACATGTGTATTATGCATAATTTTTGTTAATTTGCAGACCATGAAGACTATGACCCACAAACTGTGAGGCTTGGAAGTAGATACAGTCATGTTCAAGAAGTCCAAGAACGGCTTAACTTCCTTAGGTTGGTTTTAAGCAATTAGTGCTGTTCTCTTTAAGGCACAGATAACAAATGCAGTGTTAATATTCATTATAGCTGTACTTAATGTGGCCATTCCACCCTGCAGCTGAATATTTTCCCACATAAAAAGCATTGCCAAAAGTTTAATGTAACACTTCCTATGTGTTCATTTTTAAATACTTTAAAATTACTTGCTAAGCTTTAACTTTAGTCTCTTTTTTGAGGACTGCATTTTATGTTTCACAATATAGTTTATGTTAGAAATAAAAGTTCATTCATTACACATTTTCATACTTCAAAGTATAAGACAAAAACAGTCAGCTCTAGAGAACTACATTTTAATTAAGGCTGTCATGGCAGTAAGGAACAGGGTTTTGGTAGCTTTAACAAAAGTTAATCTAAAGCTGTATGTAATAACATTCAGATGTGGTTAAGGAAGAATTGCCTGACTTAAAAAAAAAAACTAAATATTGTGTTAGGCTGAATTAGTATGTTTAGCATTTAATGACATGTGTATGTGGATATGTAAAGATAGCTTAAGTAATAGATTGCTTAGGAATACAATAACCAGATCCTAGCAAAAAAGCATATTTGAATCATAAATATTGCTAAAAAAAATACTGAGGCTCTTTTTCATAAAATCTGTTGTGTTTATTATTTTCATTAATTTTGGGGATTTTTCTCTTTGGACTGTGTTGTATACTGGATTTCTGTTGTTGAACCATGTAATAATTTGTGGGGAAATATTTAGATTGATATAGTCTGTTCTCTAATTAATCTATGACTGCATTTAACAATTTTATAACATGTTGAATTGATCTCATCTTATCCAGTACGTGTTTATATCATTTGAACTTGAGAAAAATTCTAGTTATCAAATTTTATGACATTTACTTAAAGTGTCCCCCTTTTTTAACCACCTGGATAAAAGGACATGCCTCCTATAGTGGGCTACTGTTGTTGATGGGTGTGTATTGTATCCTTTAGGTCTATTGGAAGAGAAAAATGGTTTGGAATTTATCTATTAATAAAGATTAGTATCTGAAGTCCTTTTATATGTCTTGCTCTGTAAATACTTAGTAGTGCAATTCTTTAAAGGCAAAAGAACTGAGAGTTAATGCTAGCTGTATATTTGACTTTGCAGTATTCACTTTAATCTGTATAGAAACTGTGAGGCATTGTTATTCCTATTTGAAATAAATCTGCGATTCAGGTGGGTGAAGTAACTTGTTTGAAATCACATAACTGCATGTGATAGAACTGGACTCCTCATCTAGTGTGTCTAACTTTAAAATCTATGGTTCTGTGACACCAGTAATTTCCCAAACTTACCTGGGAGTCTTAGTTGAAAAGTTTTGAATTTTACTGCAAAGAGTAATGCATTTTTTGCATTTTATTATTCTGGACCTTATGTTGCTCAATTATATATGAAGGTGGAAGGGATTAGATAGGATTAAAAGCTAAAAGGCCTCTTCATACACAGACTTAAAAGTAAGGAGATCTTGGAGAACATATATAATTAATACCCAAAAGAAGAAAACCACAGACGTTAAATAAATACTTCATACTCTATTGGACGTGAAGCCACTATGATATTGTTAATAAAGAATTAAATGCAGAATTATTACTCAGTTAAAATTGGCTTCTTTTTTTTTTTAACTGTCATTCATAGAAATAGTAAACAGTAGGTGAAGGCAACTTAAGCTAGAGAAAGAGTCTGAAAAAGACTACTTAAAGCAGAACCATCATAATTTTACTTTATAATAACTTAATGGCTTTTTTTAAAGATTTTATTTATTTATTTGACAGAGAGAGATACAGCAATAGAGGAAACACAAGCAGGGGGAGTGGGAGAGGGAGAAGCAGGCTTC